GCACTTCTAATCCTAGAAAAACCTATATTTCTGAGGTGACAACCTTGCTATGTCATCTTGGCTGATCCCTTCAAGCGTCTCTTACTGAAGAGTGAAGTGGGCAGAGACAGAGACTAACTGACCGCTGCTGGATGGACCATCTTGTCCACGTGGGTATTCATGCCTGGTCTGTTCTGGGTGCTCTCTGGGAGATACTGATATGAGATAGAGTGATCGGAACAGTTTGTGCCAACACTCACTGCTCCACACACTACTCGTTCATTCATTCCTAAACGTGAGGGACCCTCTTCCCACCCCACCTTCCCTGGGTGCTGACATTACAAAGGGATGGAGCATGGTTTTCACATTCTGTGCTTATACCCTGCCCCCCGACCAGCCCAGCTTCCTCTCTAGATACCTGGTTGAACTTTTATCCTCTTTAAAGGAGGAACCAACCCTCCCATCATCATATTATGTTTTCTTTTCCCCTTCCCTTTTAAAACTTTGTACCGTTTCCCCTTGCGTTTTAATGTTTGATCCTCTAAGCCAATCTTTCTGAAATGTCAGAATATATTTTCTCTCACTACTGAATTTGGTGGTCTGGCTTTCAAGATTTTCTATTTGCTGTATCTTTGCAAAAGTCTACAAAGGAGCTCAAAGGCAAGAATTTTTCTCTGTTCTGTTTGTTCTTTAGTGCTGTCTCCTTCTGGTACTAAGCCTCAAGTTTTTCGATTAATTTTAACAGAGGTAAGGGCTTCACACTGAGAAACAAAATACATTAGATAGTATTTGAAAACATTATCTATCTGCAAATGGTCTGAAATATTTAACAGTATGTTATTTAAAATTTCTTGCGTCTCCTTTTTCTCACACTGAAGTCCCCAGAGCCCATAGGGGGTGTGCCCGGGCACCTCAGCAAAGTCTGGGTATAGACTGCCAGCGCTTGCAGGGCAGTATGTGCCCACCGCGCAGAGGAACACAGCAGTGTCATGGGGCTGAGAGTCTGATGTGCAAGGAAAAGTTCTGGTCTCATGTATTAAGCCTGGCTGTGAACTGCCCACTGGTCTCCTCTCTCATCAGGCAAAGCACTTGCGTCAGGGAGATGAGACCATCTCCAGGATCTGCCTAAGCCATTGGAACGTGTGGAAACTGTCCCTGTAACTACAGCTCAGTGTGGTGCTCTCATCTTTCTTGACTTTCATGGAAGAAGGGCTCTGTTCCACCAGCGGTTGTCCATTTGACCTTGCTCAGGAGGAATAAAAAGATTTTTATACATAAGAAAGCGGTTTGGTTTTGCTTTTAGAATTTTCCTCATTTATTTTATAGTCCTTAGAATATACCCCAGGTTGTCCTCTATCTCTCCAGATTTCAATGCCAGGGTTACCACCCCTGTCTTTTGCTTATGCCCTTTGTCCTCTCCTCACCACGGTCACTGCTCGCAGACCAACTGTGCGCACAGGAGCACTGTGGAGCCCCCAGGAGGCCCCATTCTTTCTTATTCCTGGAGCCACTGAGTGTTCATCTCAGAGGCTAGACGCTGGCCATGTTCATGGGGCTTGGTTCACTGTTCTGGTTTTCATTGCTTCTGTTTTCACAGCCAGTCAAGACCTCGCTGTCACGTGATTCACACTGCCCATCCTCTGGCTGCTCCCCTTCACCTTGCTCTACTTTCCGGCAACCACTCTGTCAGAGGAAGTGCTGCTCCCACGTGGTTGGAACTTTTTAATTAATTTTTAAAAAATTTTTCCTCAACTCATTGAATTAAAGGAAGATAGAACAGAGACATAAAGAACAAACAAAAAGGAAGAAAACAGTGTTGAAGTGCTCTCTAGTGATGACTATCTGAATGTCTTGACACCAAGAATTATCTTCCTTACTCTTCTTACCTCTATGGAACTCTTTGCCTGCATGTATGGCATCCTCAGAGGTGTAAATAGTTGTAGGTTGAGAGAAGACGTGACTTCTTCCTTCAGTGTTTATTTCCATGGCATAGTGTAATTGTATCTCTCAACCTGAACAGTTTAAAATTCTCCCACAAAATATAAAGCAGGGAAATATAGTATCCTTTCTTTTAATATGTTCTCAGGTTTGAGAAAGCAGTCTAACGTCTCACTAACACTAAAAATGCCACTGCTTTTGCAAGCATCTAAGGGCTTCTTACATTTACATCTTTCTTGGCTTTTGTATATTCTGTTTTTTTCTCATATTGGTTACATACATAGTAGTTATCTGAAACCCTAATTCATGGTCTCATTTGCAGCAAGGGTTAAGGGCTCAGGAGGAGCAGAGGTTAAGGAAGAAACTTTATTCTTTGTAACCAGTCTTCAGCTTGCTGATTCTAGGTGTCACCACTTAAATGCATTTTCTCAGCTATATCCCATGGATAAAGCCCTAGTCCTGGCACATCCATTCCCACACTTCTTTCCCTTTGCTTCTTTTTGGGGTCAAAAAGTGAAAGCGCCTCCGTGCTGAGAGTTTTGATGAGTAAATAGCTGTGACTTCTTTGATGTTAATTATAGACAGTAATCTTCCATTTTTCTTCATGTATGAAAAGATGAACAATAGGGAGACTGCACCTCCTAGCAGTTTCCCTGAAGCACAGTGTCACTGTAGTTCTCTCTGGAGTTGGCTTTCTCCTGGTGATTCAGGGTTGAGGTGGGCTGGACCCCACCTTTCACTGTCTGTTTGTTTCTGCCTAAGGCTAAAACATCAGGTACATAAGGTGGTCACTGGAGAGTGCGTTTGTGAAGTGACACATTATTCTGGGAACTTGTGATCAGTCTTTTGCTCAATCAGAGTATCCTCAAGTCACATCAAGTCTGGAACCACAGAAGTGCTAGCAAAAGTTCTAACTGTCTTAAGATTTTTCTATTTGCCAATGTGGATACTTACCAGGAATGTTCTCAAGGAAGGGAAATTTTGCCTGGGAATAATAGATGGAACAGTTCCAGTCACTTGAAGGAGATAACATTTACACAAAAGTTGTCCTTGTAATCTTCTCTTATGTCTCTAGTATGCTAGTTTTAATATTCTAGGTAAGTGCCA